AACAGCCCATTTCCCAACTTCTGGTAGGACCGGAAGGCCCAAAAATCAGCTGGCTGGCGCACACATGTGCGCTGGAGCTGAGCTACGGCAATGCTCGCGTGCCAACTGATATGGCTCCAAGTGCCACCTGTGGCACCCGTGCCATAGGTTCGCCATCACGGCTCTACACTATGCTGGTTAAAAGAAGAAACACTCACCATACCTTGCTCTGTGGGAATCCAGACATTACGTTGTTTTTTTTTCAATCAGCTCATCATATTATGGCATAATGTTTCAACTCCTACCCTCAAAACGACACTATAGAGCACTGCACACCAGAACAACTAGACACAAGGACAGTTTTTCCCAAACGCCATCACTCTGCTAAACAAATAATTCCCTCAACACTGTCAAACTATTCACTAAGGCTGCATTACTATTACTATTAGTCTTCTCATCCTTCCTATCACCCATCTCCTCCCACTTATGACTGCATGACTGTAACTTTGTTGCTTGTATCCTTACGATTTATATTGATATTATTTCCTATTTGTACCCTATGACTATCATTAGGTGTTGTACCTTATGATTCTTGATGAACGTATCTTTTCTTTTATGTACACTGAGAGCATGTGCACCAAGACAAATTCCTTGTGTCTCCAATCACACTTGGATTCTATTCTATTCTATTCTATTCTATTCTATTCTATTCTATTCTATTCTATTCTATTCTATTCTATTCTATTCTATTCTACTCTACTCTACTCTACTCTACTCTACTCTACTCTACTCTACTCTACTCTACTCTATTCTAATGTAGTTTATTTGCTAGGACAGATTACATAAAATGAACACAGTTAACACAGAATACAGTAATTGGCCTTTTTAAGCCTAGGTTATGGTGGAACTGTGTTATGAGTTTATATCCAATGTTTGTGGGGTCTACAGTATCCTTAATCAATTCAGACAAAGCCCCAGCAAATACATTTCCATAAACTAAACATATTAAACCAACCTTTTTTAGAGTTAATGACGATTAGGGTGGTGGTTTCTTGACTTGCTTGTACTTTGTTTAACATATAGTGCACACTCAATTATGTTTCAATACACTGAACATATCCAGAAAATAATCCATGGAATTTTAGATTAATACATTGAGAGCCAGTTTGATCTAGTGCAGTGGTTCCCAACTTGGGGCCTACGTCCCACAGGGGGGCAATTTGATTTTTAATGGGGGCAATTTGGAACCTTGTTTAAACCAAGTTAATGGCCTTTTAGGCTTCCTCCACATGAATAGGAGTTCACTTTTTGAATAGTAAGTATTATATGTCACTGGGGGGGGGCATCAGGATTTTAGAGATGCTTAGGTGGGGCATGGCCGAAAAAAGGTTGGGAACCACTGGTCCAGTGGTTAAAGCACCAAGCCAAAAACCGTGAGTCCCTCCTTAGCCATGAAAGCCAGCTGGGTGACTTTGGGCCAATCACTCTCAGCCAGTGGTGGGTTTCACTTACCTTTGCTACCGGTTCGCTTCTGTGTGCGCCATTTCTGTACATATGCAGAGCGTATTTGATGGGCAGGTGGGCGGAGCCTCCTGCCGCCGCCACTACTGGTTTGCCCTAAAAACCGGTAGCAACCCACCACTGCTCTCAGCCCAACCTACCTCACAGGGTTGCTGTTGTGAGGAAAATAGGGGGAGGAAGGTGTTGCATATATTCAATAGATAGATAGATGATAGATAGATAGATAGATAGATAGATAGATAGATAGATAGATAGATAGATACAGTGGTGGGATTCAAATAATTTAACAACCGGTTCTCTGCCCTAATGATTTCTTCCAACAACCAGTTCACCAAACTGCTCAGAAAATTAACAACCGGTTCTCCCGAAGTGGTACGAACTGGCTGAATCCCACCACTGGATAGATAGATAGATAGATAGATAGATAGATAGATAGATAGATAGATAGATAGAGATAGATAGATAGATAGATAGATAGATAGATAGATAGATAGATAGATAGATAGAGGTAGGCAGGCAGGCAGGCAGGCAGGCAGGCAGGCAGGCAGACAGACAGACAGACAGACAGAGGTAGGTAGGTAGGTAGGTAGGTAGAGACAGACAGACAGACAGACAGACAGACAGACATGAATTTTTGGGATTTTGAGTCTGAGTTTCCCCAACCTGATCCCCTAATCCATTCTTCACCAACTTGATGACGTCCAATTATGCTGGACTACAAATTCAGTACAACTCTGAGGGAAATGGAGGATTCACAAATATGAAATATAAATCTGCATGTTGCATTGAGAAGGGAAATGCTGGACCATCTTGGCTCCCCTCTGATCATTATATTTTGAGAAACTCTTCTGCCATTTCCTCCCCCAATTTAATTTTTATTTTATTTTATTTTATTTTGAATTTGTATACCGCCCTTCTCCCTGAGGACTCAGGGCGGTGAACAGCCAAGTAAAAACATCAAGTACAAATATTAAAATACAGTTAAAATATACATATATAAATTTGGCCCCATTAATTAAAAACAATAAACAAAACACTTAAAAACACTTAAAAAATTAGGCCAGCCCGGCTTGCTGGAAAAGGAAGGTTTTAAGGGCACGGCGGAAGACACTGAGGTCTTGGATTCTCCTTATCTCTGGGGGCAGCTGATTCCAGAGGGTGGGAGCCCCCACAGAGAAGGCCCTCCCCCTGGGGGTCACCAGCCTGCACTGTTTGGCTGATGGCACCCCGAGGAGGCCCTCTCTGTGGGAGCGCACGGGTCGATGGGAGATCGTCGGTGGCAGCAGGCGGTCTCGAAGATAGCTAGGCCCTATGCCATGGAGCGCTTTAAAGGTGATAACCAACACCTTGAAGCACACCCGGAAGACCACTGGGAGCCAGTGCAGCTCGCGCAGGAGCGGTGTTACATTTAAACAATTTTAAATTTTAAATTTTAAAAAGAGACTCTGGAGTTTTTCCTCATGAAAAGTATGTTACTCAGCTGTGGCACAATTGTGTTTTGTTAATTGGGGTTTAGTGTATTATATGAACTCATCTTACAAGCGTAGTATTCTTTCCTAATACAATATTGTCCCCAGCGTCTGAAATTTAGAGGTAGACTGCTCTGTCTCCATGACAGCCATATAATAATCATAAATTGTAGCTGATTTGGAGAAAGGTTCTGCTAGACTGCACAACATTTTAAAATAAAAAAATAAAGAGAGGCACAAGACAGACAGACACAAGAACAAACAGAGAAAAAATTGTCTTGACAGCATTATATTTGCCATAGTGGTCATTCAGATGTCTTACATCAGTGTTTCTCAACCTTATCAACTTTAAGATGTGTGGACTTCAACTCCCAGAATCCCCCAGCCAGCATGCTGTCTTACATGGTCACAAAATGCAGACAAACGGCTGCTTCAACTGCTCTACAAAATCAAAATCAGATGGTCTCTTATGGGGGTGGGAAAGGAGGCAGTTCCCCTATCAAAATTGCTGGCTACATGCCACCAATTCCCTCATTTTTCCCTCCTTTTAAACACTGCATCCTGAGGAAGTGAATTCCATCCGTTAACACCATCTCTGGATGAAATGGCGCTTCCTGTTCTTCACTCTGCCTCTTCTGCCAAATTCTTTCAACAACTCCCAAGTTTAAAACCTGCCTTTTACCAATCCTCTTACAAGGAGAGGAGAAAAAAAATACTTTTCAGTCAACTCCCCTCTTCACAATTTGAAAAACCTTTAGGACTACAGGTAGTCCTCAACTTATATCCGGTCACTTAGCAACCATTTGAAGTTCTGATGGACCCCGAAAAAGAGACTTATGACCCAGATTTGAATTTCTGCTATCTGAAGCTTAATTTACAACACTTTTTTCCCTGGAAACTGATGTTTACTTCCAGTTTTCAGCAAAAAATGCCTGAGAGCGACCAATGGGTTCACTTAACGACTATCGTGTTAGCTTAATACAAGTAATCCTTGATTATAACCACAATTGAACCCAACATTTCTGTTGCTGAGCAAGATGGTTGTTAAGTGAATTTTGTCTCATTTTATTATGTTTCTTGCCACAGGTGTTAAGTGAATCAGCGCAATTGTTAAGTTAGTCACAGGTTATTAAGTGAATCTGCCTTCCGCATTGACTTTACTTGTCAGAAGGTCACAAAAAATGATCACATGATCCCTGGACACTGCAGCTGTCATAAATCTGAGTCAGTTGTTGAGCATCCAAATTTTGATCATGTAACCGCACAGATGCTATAACTGTTTTAAGTGTGAAAAACGTTCATAAGTCACTTTTTTCAATGCTCTGAACAGTCACTAAACAAACTTTTATAATTTGAGGACCTGTAATCACTGCAAAACAAGGTTATAGAATCAATCACATGATGATGACTTTACAACTATCACAACTTATGACCAAAATCAGTGGGGTGGGTCTCAGTTAGGGTCGGTATGATGCCCCAAAGGGTGTAAAATCTATCAACCTTGATGTTGGAATCAAGGTCAGGGGAACAGTGGTGGGAACGATGGGAGGGTTGCCTACTTTTTTATAAAGTAGGTTTACAGTTACGAAGCCAGTAATCTTTTAAGGATGACCCATGTCTCTTGAAATTCTAGGCTGTTGGTTTGAGTTCCGAGCTTGGCAATTTGGTTGCAAATGTTTCGTCACCATTTGAGGAGACCTCGTCAGTGCGTTTTGAATTGTAGTTGGGACAACCTAAGCTACTAATATTCAAACACATTCCTTAACACTGTTTCCCAAGAAAGAATTTTTGTTTTGTCATTGCTATATGTTAAAAAATATTTATTTGCCCTCATATCCATCTTTTGAATACTCGTTTTGCTGAGTACCGATGCTCAATTTTTAGAATTGGCCTGCTCTACTGCTCATCTCTGTACAATGTGGCATTTATCATTCTTAACATACGCCACTTCTGCAGATTTTTCCAAGGGCAACCTAAGGATCATTCTTATTCTTATTCTTATTATTAAAAGGAAAGAAACACCTCTGAACATTTTTATTCCAGATGATTCACACTTTTTATTTGCTCTGTTCCAGTATATTACAAACAAACAACAGAGAAGTGTGCATGTGTGTGTGGCAGGGTGTATTTAAGGTAGATCTTCAAACAGTTGGCCATGATGTTTGGAAAGCTTGGGAGAAAGGGGGAAGTGCACTTCTGCGAGCCAAAGAATATGAAAGGAATTAACAGTGGAGAACTGGGCACACAAAGGTTATCATCACCATGTCATACACATTGGATGAGACAGAGACTGGGTTGTGGGGGAGAAAAAGTGGGGAAGGGGGTTTAACTACACCAGCACCAGAATCTCTGAAGCAGCACCGGATAGCCTCTTCATTCCTTGATTCTCCTTCAATCACCTTGACAGATGTTCTCAGCTTCAGAGAAATCCAGGTAGGAGTGTTTGCTGCTGTTTGTCTTGGGTCAAACAACCCAGATGAAGATCATTGTTGAGTAGTGGAGGAAAGAAGACATTGCTGATGGAGATTGGTTGCTGGAGATGCTGATGTTGAGGGCCTTCCCAATGGCCCAAAGAACAGCTTGAGATGTCTAGAGCTTTTGAAGACTGCCCCTTGTCCATTGCAGAGAAGACTCCCAAGTGATGTCTCCACAAAGTGCCAACAATTTTATGCAAACAGCATGCGGGGTCTTTTGGCTTGTGAGCTGTTGACAAAATGATGGATGGTTGGTAAGCTGTGAGTTTTCAGAAGCCCATTGAGCAGATGATCAGGTGACACACCTGGAGAACAGAAGGAGGACTAGTTTCCAAGTCACAAACTACAACAATGGACTGTTGAGTCCAGAGCCAAAAAAAATAATGGCAGCTTGAGCAGAAAGTCTGGAGACAACACAGTCTTTCCTTGGCTTGGAAGTCATGGGGTTCACCTCTTCCAGCTTTTTCATGTCAGATAGGGAAATTTGGCAAGGAGGCATCAATGGATTTCTCTTCCCCTGGAAGAATGGATTCATATCACAGACCCACCAAATTTGAAGGGATTCCCAGAATCTCTTGAACAGGGATTTCCTCCACTCCACCGCACAATTCTTGATCTCTCATTTTTAAACACCCTATTTCACCACCCATACATTGTATTTATTATGCAGGATAATTCAATTTTATAGTAACAGAATAATACGTGATAACTTTTTAAGTAAAACCAGCCTTGCCCAACTACGGAAATTGGTTGAATCCAGCTTAAATCCCAAGGAATTCCTTTTATAATTCAGTTAGTATGATCATGTCCCTTCATCATAACTACCAATGCAGTATTTTTTGAGCTTTTAAATATTACTTCCTTGGTCTCCATCCCCAATCTCTCACCCATTTGGAAATGCAAAGGTAATTTTCAGCCAGAGGGAGGGGGGGAGGGAATAGTAATAAAATAAGGCATAGTCCACATGTGGATTATTGTCTGGCACTGATCGAAGGCAAATGACCAAGCTCTAATGCAGTATTTCTCAATCTTGGCAACTTTTAAGATGCGTGAACTTCAACTCCCAGAATTCCCCAACCAGAATTCTGGGTGTTGAAATCCACGCATCTTAAAAGTTGTCAAGGTTGAGAAATACTGTTCTAAACGACATAGCAGTAGCAGCTCAGCCCCTCTACCTCTATTTTTTTATTGCCTACATTATCATGTGGAGCCCCAACTATACAAGTGAGAATCCATACAAATGTTGTAGAAAGCTCATCTGTATTAGTGCTGAGATTTCTGCATCAGCCCCAGCTCTGTGATTTGCCCTCAAAGAGTAACCCATATCACATTCTTAGATGCTAATCATCTCAATGCTGGAATGCTAAATTCTTTCTCTCTCTCTAAAGTTTAGCTGCAGGGGAACACTACATAATGGTCAAACCATGGAAACTTGCTCCTTCCTCTTTTAAGATTGCCTTCAACTCTTCATCAGGGTTTGCAAATTTAGGACATTTTTAAAGGAAGTGAATTTGAAGAACACCCATCACTCAACAGGACAGCCTATCCTTTGCATGTCAAAACTTCCAGATCCAATTGGCTGCTTCATTTTAGAGCTACTATGGATATCCCTGATCACAATGAGCAAATCATTTGAATTAGGAGGGGTTCACAGCTCATTGTACAGGCAAAAAGTTCAAGTTTGATCCTTGCCCAATGTCTCTGGTGAAAGAGGTAGCAGGGCATCTCTGTGTGGCTTCTTCCAATATGCCTGCTTGCTTTGCTAATTACAGGAAAGTAAGGAAACAGAACATGGGATGAGAAAGATAACTGGATGACTTCCTTCAGAAAAAATATGATTGTCAAGCCAAGCAGAAATGTGCAAAAGCAGCTCACCCAGTGAATGCTCCCTCCCCTAAAACTTTGCACGGATGTATTTTACGAATACAGATGGAAGAAGACGTTTGAATGATATTGTTATGGAAAACTCTTCTTCCAGGTTCTTTTGGTCAATGCAAGGAAGTGTCCTCAAAATGGCTTTCCTTAACTTGGAACCCTAACATTGCAAGTATAATTATCAGATTCCATTGCCTGTTTATCACAAATCTCAACACTGCTAGGGAGATGGAATGAGGAACATACTCCAAAATACTAAAATACTTGGATACTGGTCTGTAGGATTCTAGTGTTTTGGGATGAAAAAAACCCCTTCAAGGTATTTATGGGAAGCACCCTTATGTGCACAGGGGGTCTTCTCCACCATGTAACAGTTTCTTCATTGCTTTTCCATCAGGTCCAAGGAAGACTTGTCAAGGCCCTCTCCTAGGACTTGTGTGGGTTCGTGGAGATGTTGTGGATCCTGATACAACATTTGGAAGCTATACTATTTTGAGAAATTGATGCAATGGTTTGTTCAGAGCTTAGGAAAGATTCAGGAGATGCTTTGAAAATAATTATGTATACACTTTTCAATTATCTGGAAGGGGAAGAACTAGCTCATCAGTTCAAAGAACAAAAACAAATGAGAAAGTCTCCATCCAAACAAACCAAAAGATAAATTTGGTTTTAAAGTGGAACTTGTTCAGATTACTAGAACCTTATCTTTCACCTTCTCAGCAAATCATGCTTAGAAAGGCTCAGTGGGAATCTAGCTTTCAGCTGAATTTGGTGGGAACTGATGTTTCTTGATTCCTATCCTTGAACACTAATCTATATTTTCAAAGATCATCCATCTTAGAGCATTTGAAAAGAAAGCTGTGCTGATAATCTAAGAAGGAGTAGAACAACAGGAAGTGCAGTTATTAAACTGCTTCGTGGTGCCCCACAGACAGTTGACCAGCATGAAGGGGTCTAAGCTGGGGAATAGCTTAGAAAGCAAGGCCAATCCATGGATCTTAGTTAAGCAAAAGAGAAATTAAGATGCCCTATAACTAGGTATGATCATGGCTGGATGATTAGCCTGGAGATTTTATATATATGCACATATATGGAGATTTGCATATATTTTGCCTCTGATTTCATATATATGAGATAGACCTTCCACAATCTACATTTCCCAGAATTTTGGTTGACAGGTCTATGCCAGATGGGAACCCTGGAAGCTATGGTCTCCGTACAATTGGGGAGTGCACGTTCAGAAAAGGTAGCCGCAGCAAAACCCAAATACTACTTATGTTATTTGTCTCAGTACCTGAGGTGGAACTGTTTGCTTTGGCAATTCAGGTTGTAATATCTCAGGAATGGAAGCCGAGACATGTGGCAGACTCTAGTTTCTTTAGGGGTATGGAGATAGTCAGCACCTTTTGAATCTGATACATCTCATCTCCAAAAATTCCAGCCACCACAAATTAGAAGAAATGTTTGTGAAACAGCCTTGAACTAAAGAACTCTTTAAAGCAATTCTGGGACTTCTGGGAGTTGAAGTCCACAAATCTTAAAGTTGCCAAGGTTGGAGACCCCTGCTTTATAGGATGTAAACAAAAATGGGAAAGGCCCAGATAACGATAAGGAGGAGGGAAGGGAAGGGAAGACTTGATGTTAAATATCTAATACCCTGTTTCCCCCAAAATAAGACATCCCCAGATAATAAGACCAATCGGGCTTTTGAGCGCATGTCAATAAGGCCAAGCGCTTATTTCAGGGTTCAAAAAAATATAAGACAGGGTCTTATTTTCTGGGAAACACGGGTGGTACCAAGGGCACTTTTTCCCTTAAAGGACTTGATGGGGAAGCAGAGAGAAGGAAGTATTTTCAGAACAATGCCCCCCCCCCCCATTGACATGAGGGACCTTTATCCTTGATGCAGTTTATCAGGAACCATGGTGCCAGTTGGCTAGCACCAATTTTATCTCTTCTACAGTTTCCCTATTATTCTCTTTGTGCTAATGGCTGAGAATTTCTCCTTTTTGCCTCCAAATGACATCCCATCCTGTGTCTTTACTTACTGTTTGTTTTAAATGCATTTTGCCTCTTCCATCAGGGAAGCCTGTGTGACCCTCCCATTCCCCCCACCAATCTGATCTGGGGCTTTCACCGAACTGTTCTTCTACCTCTTAACTATTTGCAGGTACATTGTCCGATGCTGAGCACCTGACAGTCCCGCACAGCTCTCTGTCCCACTGACCGAATCCATCGTATCTTTTCCCAATCTAGATGCCCTTCAGATGTGTTAGATGACAGTTGCCATCATCTGTAGCCAAATGGTCCAATGTGTAAGTCCTAGGTTGGGGAAGACTGGTCTAGCAGCCACAAAATATACATTTAGCGTCAACAATTCTTATCATCGACTGGGATTGCTCACTGAATCATAAAGTCTACTCGGACATCAACCATAGGCTTAGAGTCTTATAGTCCAGAGTAGTTGTCATCATGGCATTTGGGGGAGAAAAAAACATACAAAATCAACCCAGTTTTTCTTTTTCAGAGCTTCAAAGCTCAACAATTACATCCTTGTCAAAGCTCCTGCAATCAACAGGATGGGAAGGCCAATAAATTCTTGTGAAGATGTCATGGAATTATTTTGTAGGCAAAACCAGTTTCTAACATCTGGATGTTTTGGTTCAGGACCAAGTTCTGTGGTGCACAAAAAAAAAAAATCAGTTGACCTCTTTTTAAAACTTGTGAAAAACTTGCTTAATTGTTTTCTGATCTTAACATTCCCACCATAGAAGATTTTTGTCACCAGTATCCTTAAGGAAATTAGGATGTGAAGGACTTTGGGAGATATCAAAGATGACTGGATTTCAAAAGATTCAGAAATTTCAAGAGGAAGCCAAGAATGGTGAGTCTCCTTTCTTGATCAATTAATTTTCTTTTTTAAACATTTCAGAAAATGGAAACAGGGCTGAACTGTGAGGAAATATTCGCTCTTTTTCATTTCTAATCAAAAGGTTTCCAGGTATATTCAACCATTACAATTTAAAATGTCCAAATAGGAAAGAAAAGGGACTGGACTGATTGGATCACTTCCATCATTAAATTTTGGGTCTGTTCCTTTATGAAATAATGAATAAAGGGGTTAATGGAGGCAGGGGAAAAAAAACCAGACTGGCAATTTAGTGTCATTGTTGGCTATTTTACATGATTTCACCAGCACTGCACTTATATTCCCCCAGTCACTTGAAAATAAAGAGGGAAAAACATCCTTGGGGGATGCAAATAGCACATCTTGTTAAGTAAAAATAGCAACACTTTGAACTCAGACCTTTGTAGAATTGAGAAGGTAACTGGAGAGGCGGAGTCAAGGTGTCCAGGTGAGAATGATGGGAAAAGGCAGTCCTGATTGGCTGTATAGTTGAGGGAGGGACTTGGCAAGAGCCTCTTACATAACCGAGCAGCATTTACAACGCTGTTTCTTCATGTCAAGATCCTGGTCTGCTCCTTTGGGGTCCGTGTCATTGGCTGATGGCTGTGCTCCAACTTGGTTTTCGTCCTTCTGAGGCAAGGGTTCCATCGCGCTGCCATTAGGTGGGGCGTGATCTGCTGTGTGGTCTCCGGCTGCTTTATTCTCAGCATCTTCTATCACCACCAGTTCGGCCTTGATTTGCTCTCCTTCGAGCCCCAGCACTTTTTTGGTCTCATTTTCATCTTCCACATTCTGGTAGCCCATGAAGATCATGGTGACAGGTTGTTCTTTGCTAGGCTCTGGGCCATCACCCCCAAGCTTTGGGCTCTCCATTGGTTTAGCCTGCACACCTGTGATTTCCTTCCGGGGGGTGACCTTCTGGCTTGGGAGATTGCTTTGGGCCTCTTTGGCAGCCTTCTCAGAGACTTCACTCAGGGTCACTTCATCGGCCTTATGGATGAGCTCATCCACTTCGGATGAGCTGAGTTGGTGGACACCATTCTCAATAGCCCCATCTTCGGTACGAACTGCATGGACCACTGCAAGAGAAGGTAGAGAAGATACACAATGAGGACAAAGAGAAGCCTGACCAGACCTTCACTGTTGCTTTCAAAAATGACTTACAGGCACATATCATTGTTTCTTGTGGTGGAATGTAGACTATTGTCGCAGGAGGGAGGGAGGGACTCTTTCCCAGAGAGCAGAAACAACATAGCTTGGAGTATTTGATATGCAAGAAGAGGTTGAAGGTGAACCCCCATCTAGCAATTCAGAGAATACATCTTGTATGCAGGTAATTGATTAATCCATTGATTAATGGATTAATCCATTAATTCATCCAAGACAGACACAGACTTCAACGGATAGTTAGAACTGCAGAAAAAACAATTGCTACCAACCTGCCTTCCATTGAGGACCTGTATACAGGTCAAAAAGAGGGCTGTGAAAATATCTACAGACCCTTCACATCCTGGACATAAATTGTTTCAACTTCTACCCTCAAAACGACGCTATAGGGCTCTGCACACCAGAACAACTAGACACAAGGACAGCTTTTTCCTGAGTGCCATCATTCTGCTAAACAGCTAATTCCCACAACACTGCCAAATTAACTACTAAGACTGTATTACTATTCTTCCTCTCATCCTTACTAGTACCTATCTCTTCCCACTTATGACTATATCCATGTTGCTTGTATTTTTGCAACTTATATTGTTTTTATTGTTTCCTAGTATGATTTGATTGCTTATTAGTATCCTATGACTATCACTAAGTGTTGTATCTTGTTTCTTGACGAATATATTTTATTTTTTCTTTATGTTCACTGAGAGCATATGCACCAAAGTCAAATTCCTTGTGTGTCCAATCACACTTGGCCAACTAGACACAAGAACAGTTTTTCCCGAATGCCATCACTCTGCTAAACAAATAATTCCCTCAACATTGTCAAACTATTTATTAAGTCTGCACTACTATTAATCTTCTCATCTTCTCATCGTTCCCATCACCCATCTCCTCCCACTTATGACTGTATGACTGTAACCTTGTTACTAGTACCCTTACGATTTATATTGATATTATTTCCTGATTGCTTATTTGTACCCTATGACTATCATTAAGTGTTGTACCTTATGATTCTTGATGAACGTATCTTTTATTTTATGCACACTGGGAGCATATGCACCAAGACAAATTCCTTGGGTGTCCAATCACACTTGGCCAATAAAAATTCTATTTTATTCTATAAAGAATTCTATTCTATTCCATTCTAATCCAGCAAAATTAATATCAAGCCCAAAGACCCAAGAAAGACCCAAGGAGTAAGTTCAGAGTACTTTCCTTATTGTTGTTCACCTATAGACAGAAATCTTGCTAAACTAAATCAATTATCTACAGTACATAACTATTACCCTATGAAGTGCTAGGGAGTGTCCACCTTCGCTCTCTTCCTGCATACCAAAGATTCTAAGCTATGTTGTCTCTTGGCTCTCTGGGAAAGAGCCCCTCCTTCCCGCAACTCTGGACTACATTCTATTACATTTCTACTTCCAAAGGTGCTTTTCAAAAGGAAGGAAAGAAAACAAGTCCATTTGCCTTTTGAAAAACACCTTTGGGACAACCATGACTTGAATGACTGAGAATCTCCATAGATACATTTCTACTCCTTAAGGAACGCTGAAGTGGCACTAGAGATTCAAAAATGCCAAGAATTTGTCCTTTAAAGCAGAATGCAATTTTATTTTGGAGGGGTTTGATAAATCTTGTAGACCTCTGACAGAACAACAGTTAAGCACCTCAAATACCAACCACACCTACCTGTTCTTCACTCAAGTGTTTTGTTTTCTCTCTGTGTATGCTAATATGAGGCCAGTTCCCAAGCAATTCGATGAAAGAACCTTCACTTTTCTTTCGGAGATGAGAATGTGAGAATGGCGTGATCATGAGAGGCCAAAAAGGATGTGTGAATGTTTTGTCTTCCATTATAATATATTCCATTATATAGTATAATTAGAACTGCAGAACTGCAGAAAAAACAATTGCTACCAACCTGCCTTCCATTGAGGACCTGTATACTGCACGAGTCAAAAAGAGGGCTGTGAAAATATCTATAGACCCCTCACATCCTGGACATAAACTGTTTCAACTCCTATCCTCAAAACGACGCTATAGAGCACTGCACACCAGAACAACTAGACACAAGGACAGTTTTTTCCCCAAACACCAACACTCTGCTAAACAAATAATTCCCTCAACACTGTCAAACTATTTACTAAGTCTGCACTACTATTAATCTTCTCATCGTTCCCACCACCCATCTCCTTCCACTTATGACTGTATGATTGTAATTTTGTTGCTTGTAGCCTTACGATTTATATTGATATTGTTTCCTGATATTGCTATTTGTACCCTATGTCTATCATTAAGTGTTGTACCTTATGATTCTTGACGAATGTATCTTTTCTTTTTATGTATACTGAGATCATATGCACCAAAGACAAATTCCTTGTGTGTCCAATCATACTTGGCCAATAAAAAATTCTATTCTATTCTATTCTATTCTATTCTATTCTATTCTATTCTATTCTATTCTATTCTATTCTATTCTATTCTATTCTATTCTATTCTATTCTATTCTATATATTGATATCTAACTTTCTTGCAGTCTGCAAACTCCCTGGCTTCCTACTTGTTATTCAATCCAAAGTGAGGAACATCTTCTGTGGGGCTCGTTCAAAGTTCTTCTCTTGAGAAAGAATTGGAGATCCCCCCCCACCCCCCCACCCCCATGGATAAATTCAGAAAAAAAAAAAACAAAACCAAGCATCCACACATTTGGTGGAAAATTTAGAAAAGCCACTTATGCCCAGCTATCATAAATGTACTTTTTATTTTAGGTGCATAAAAATGGATGTTGAATTTGTCAGAAAAAGCAAAAGCAGTAAGGATAGGAAATGAGTGGGTCCAAACAATTCTAGGAGTTTTTCAACCATGACTGTCCTTCTTACTCATTCCTTGACCTGCACTTTCATAATAAATAATCAACAATCCCTTGTATTATTCTATTCTCCACACTGGAATGGGAGATAAGAAAAGTAAGGAACATTTTGAGGAGGGTTTACAGAAAACGGAAAACGTGACTTAAGTTTTTTTATACCATAAAGGGGGGGAGGGGGAAAAGTGCCCGTCATTTGAACTTAACTCCTACTTATGATCACACAATGCTCTAGAATTGTTTTCTTCCCAGATTTTTTTGAACTGTCCACCATATAGCCTATCACCCCAGAATTTCCTAGGGATTTCCCATCTGAATAGTATCTGTATTGTGATCTGTTGTGACTCTGCTTAGTGCTGGAAAATCAACCAATGCTGACAAGATGCTGACACCTGTGGAGACTTAAAAACTTTAGGCTAAAATCATCATCATCATCATCATCATCTCCATCTCAAATATCTCTATACAACTGCAAAAATTGTCCATTGGGATTTATATGGAAAATTCAACTTTACTGTTTGCAAAAAAAAAAAGAAAAGAAAAGAAAAGAAAAAAGAAACACTGGGATTTTTATGCCTGAAAACAGTTTGCAAAATGAGATCCAAATTTTGTGAGGTTTCAATATGCAAACTGTTACCAATAAGAACATGATCTCACAGGCACTGCTATTACAGAAAGGAACGCTGCTGAATTGTTGAAAAACTCTGGGAGAAAATATCTGAATACCATAATTTATATACTAAAGCTGAAAAATAATGGAGCATTAAACATTGATTGTTAATACCAATTATAATGTTGGCACAATGTGAAAAGGATTCACCAAATATTTAGAAATGTTAAATTTACTGGATGTCTGTAAAAGACGTTTTATAGCAAAATCTCCATAACTCAGGTCATTTAGCAGGACCTAAGCAATTGGAGATAACATCCAGTCAATTAGACTTAAGATATTCATTTGGGTAAATAGGATAATATTAATAATTATTCATAGGATTTCTTGGCTTCTGAGCTTTCCTCGTATTTCCAGCAGACAGCCTGCCTCCTGAACACAGAATGGTTTTGCAATAGTTTTTCTACTTTGTGTGCCAAAACACTGCAAGCAAGATGGATACAAGGGAAGAGATGGGATTTTTCTAATCCAACCAGCACAGTGAATCTGTGCTTCCCCGTTGACTTTGCTTGTCAGAAGGTTGCAGAACCTGACCCCATGACCTTGGTACACTGCAACCGTCATAAATGTGAGCCGGTTGCCATGCATCACGAATTTTGATCACGCCATCATGGGAATGCTTTAAAGATTGTAAAGTGTGAAAAAATGGTCTTAAGTTACTTAAGTTTCAGTGTTGTCGTAACTTCAATCCGTCACTAAATGAACTGTTGTAAGCCGAGGACTACCTGTACTGCCCTGGAACCACTGCACCATCAGAGCCCCCAACACAATTCCAAACACAACCTCCAACAGCTGCACTGTGGGAAGGAAGCCAAGTCTTCTTGAGTCAATAACAATGTGCTGCTCTGGATTCCATCTGAGTCCCAGGGAGCATGAAAGCTGTTTGTAGGAGGCCAGACGCATCCTTGGTCTGTGGACCCTCCCGTCCAGTGCATACCTTTCAGCTCGTCCTCGTACACTTTGACTCCCTGAACTGTGTTCTCTTTGGGTAGTCTAGTGGTGCTGGACAGGACTTTGGTCTCCCCTGTGAGTTTGTCCTTCTCCACAGTGATCTCTACAGAGTACATAGCTGGTGACATAAACAGGACACAATGAGCAACAAGAACGTTTTTCTGCCCCTCTGCTCACCGACCTCTCCCTCCCTGAGCTCAGAAACGACGCATTTGGTACGAGCAGGGAAGGTGGGAGGCGCAGGGCAGCTGGGAGACTTGTGGACAGGCCCAAAGCATTAGAGGCAGAGAGAAGAAGCGATGCACAAGGCAAGCAAAGGCCTTTGAGTTCCAAGGAGCAGCAAACCAAAGAGATTTTGCTTTCCCAAATTCTTGGCAAAGCCCATCTGTGGCTCTCCTTGATGGTATCTCAGTCAGCATTTCTAAAATGTTGATCTGGGGGTGATGTAAACCTGTGTTTTTTTCAACCTTGGCCACTTTTAAAATGTGTTTTAAAGGAATTCTGGGAATTCCACTCCCAGAATTCTCTAGCCAGCCTGCATGTTCTCAGTAGTTTACAGTTGATCCCTTAGCCAAAGATGAGATGAGGGTTTAGCTGAAAGGTTTTTGATCAGAGTTTTTGCTTTTGGAAAAGGAGAGCAAGATAGGAAGCGGGGAAAAAAAGTAGTTAAGCTTAAATGAAGCCAAGGAAAGATGAATTTAAGAATTGTTCAACATAGAATGGCCCTGCATAAGTGCTGAGGTGCATATGCAGGAGAACAGAGCAAAGAAGGAGAAAAGCAATAGCAACAGCACTTAGACTTATATACAGCTTTACAGTGCTTTACAGCCCTCTCTACAGCGGTTTATAGAGTCAGCATATTGCCCCCAACAATCTGAGTCCTCATTTTACCAACCTCGGAAGATGGAAGGCTGAGTCAACCTTGAGCCTGGTGAGATCTGAACTGCCAAATTGCAGGCAGCCAGCAGTCAGCAGAAATAGCCTGCAGTACTGCACTCTAACCACTGCACCACCATGGCTCAAAGAAAGGCGATTTGTTCATGATGGAGTAGTAAGTATGAGCAAGAAGCCATTTTTTTAAAAAAATAAGACTTCCATTCAGCTAAAGTCAACTTTGGTGACTTCCTGGACATTTCCTCTGTGGTCACCTTACAAGGGAAGTGGGCAGCATAAACATTTAATAAATAAATACAATTAACATAAAGAAATTTTATCATTTCTTTCTTCCAGGATGTTTTTTTTTTTTTAAACTTCTCAGTTTAAACAACAGGCGTGGATTTTCCTAGGGATCTTCTATCCAAGAACCTTGTTTAGCTTTTTAGGATTAGCCAAATTTGGCTTTTTAAGGTTAGGATTAAGCACAGCAAATTTCCCAAGCAGAGAAGAATGATGAGTAAAACCAAAACCAAAAGCAAAGGATGCTGAATTGAGCATCAAAGCAGACAGGAATTTGGATGAAAAGCCGGGTTAACTTCTTTGTCAGTGGGAGAGAAAGAAAGATATGACCGGAAGTTGGAGTGAAAAGGTAGGAAGCATGGCAAAGCAGATGTGCAGAGAAGGGGGCTGAACCAGCCAAGGTAGATAAGACTGTGTTGTCCCTCATCACTCAGCAAACCTGCAGCCACCATTTGAACATAACACCAGCCCAAAGTTCATTTGCTTATTCTGACAAAGATAATATACTTTGTCACTGTTCCGCAAGCAGAAAAAGAAATATATGACTGTGTTTGCAGGCTGTCCATGATCTCAGGTCAGGAAGGAACATGAAACAGCTGTAAAACTATTTTTTTGGCAACAGGTCTGCATACTTTCAGCAAAGGAGTTCTGAGGCAGGACAGCAAAATGTCAAAAACACAAACAACATGATGTTGTGTGTGCTCAGCTGAAATGCAACTACTATTTTGGCTTGTTAATTACTTAGAAACAAAAATGCAAAGCATCAAGTGGCGAATGAGATTTAGATTAAACAATGGATTGAATTTTTGAAAGCATTTTCCCCCAAAGTGCTAAATTATTCTCAGTCTGGAGCCCTTAGATGTGTTGGATTACAAAGTCTATATTTTCCAGCTAAAGTACCACAGTGGCTAGCTAGGATGGGAGATGTAGTTCTACATGTATGCAGCCTGCCTGATTAAGGAAAGGTGTCACTGAATTTGGGTTCATTCCAGTTGACAATTGTCCCTGAAAGCACGTAAAATTTGGACATACATGGGCTAGGACTCTTTTAAAAACAAACTGCTTTCTCAGCATATTTTTACAGTTTTAATTCAGGATGGCTCAGTTTTCCATTTCCATCAGTCCTGCTTGTTGAAATGCATACCCGTGTTTCCCCGAAAATAAGACCCTGTCTTATATTTTCGCTTGGCCTGATTGCCATGCGCTCAAAAGCCCAATTGGGCTTATTATCAGGGGATGTCTTATTTTGGGGAAAACAGGGTATTTAAATACAGTATAATTTCCAAACCTAAATGTAAATGCAATATGTACTTTACCTCAAACCACACATTTCTAAATGCGGTTTCTCCTAAAACTGTGATATAGTATGAACTTTTGCAACGTAAGGAACTAACTACAGTAATTGGTCACAAAATAATTTTCTGGGCAAAAAGAGCTAGGACTGTGTCGCCTGGTGATTAGGTGGATTGGCAGCAGGGAGACCCAGATTCTACCCCTCCTCGGCTCAGAAGCTTATGAGAGACTTTGAACTGGTCATCACAGCCTACCTCACAGGGGTGTTGTGTAAGGGAAAAATGGGATGAGAGAATATTATATACTTTGACTTGATTTCCTTAGGAAAAACAAGACAGAGATGTAACAGAGTAATAAATAAATGCATGTTACATTTGCCTGTAAATTTTGAGAAAGGTGGACTTCTAAGGCTGCAGCCATCTCCCTGCCTGTTCCTATTGATTAAAATGTCCTATTAGAGCCGGACACCCAACAGAGCAGAAAGGAAACAAATTCATCACCATGATCGAAGCTGCCTTTGAGCCCCGAGCACAAAACCGATCAAACTGTATAGCTCACTCAGAGGTTTTCCAGTTCAGGATAGCTGCGATGCAGCTAATGGGTGACATGCCATTAGTTAAAACAACATTTATCAAGGGCAGATCCAGGGCAGCTCTGTGGTGACTGGGTTTGTTTTTTTCCCTCACCCTCCTGGCCATTCTTCCTTTGACCTTGTGGAAATGGAGGACATGTCATTCCAGGCTGTATCAGGGCAAAAATCCAGGCCAACCAAGTGCAAAAAGGAACACCAAATTTGGCCTTTTAAATGCATCCAGAATAGCTTTTCAGGGGGTGAAGTTGTAAATAGCTGATAAAACATGACCTTAGTCCTGAGCTTTAGGCATAGGACTTATGTATTTTACTAAATTGATATACTGTCCATCTCAACTATCAAACAACTGTGGAGTAGGGTACAGTAGGATAGGACAGTACACAGCCCAGAATCACTTTTGTGAGATGGACAGCTGTATATTTTATTTTTATTTATTTATTTATTTTATCAAGCATGTATAAAATAACAGATATCAGTATAAACATGATTATGAATACATGAAATGGATACGAATAAAATGGGGACATAGGACAGGGATGGAAGGCACGTTGGTGCGCTTATGTACACCTCTTACAGACCTCTTAGGAATGGGGTAAGGTCAACAGTAGACAGTCTAAGGTTAAAGTTTTGGGGGTTTGGGGAAGAAACCACAGAGTCAGGTAGTGCATTCCAGGCATTGACCACTCTGTTGCTGAAGTCGTATTTTCTGCAATCGAGTCTGGAGCGGTTTACCTTAAGTTTGTATGTATTGTGTGCTCGTGTATTGTTGTGGTTGAAGCTGAAGTAATTATTGACAGGCGAATGAAAATGAAAATGCAATATTGACTTTGGGATTTGCTGATTACATTACTTTGGTGTTATAGAAATGGCTAGTATTTGCTAAGTGCTTCATGTAAAAGTAAAACATGGAAGCCTTAATTTTAATTTGTGTTTTATTCTGCTGAAAAAAGTTGGAAGTCAATGCTTTTTTCCCCTCTTTTGCCCTTTATCCTACACTTCTCCTTCCCCTTTTTCCCTTTGCCATTTCCCTATTATCTTCATTTTCATTTATATTTTAGATTATGAGAATCTTAACTTAAAGAAATAATTTAAAAAGAGGTGGGGTAGTTGTTTCAGCCCCATCTCAGCCTCAGATGGAAGACTTAAATAAACTGGGATCATCTCTCTCTATAAAACTGGCACAAAAATAATTGAGTTGGACTGAAGGGACGGAAATTGATTGTCGGAAGATCTGGGAACCAACTTTAAAAACTTTATGGAAACTGATAAGGTTGTCTTTAGCTGTTCTGGCATTAAAATTCCTTTAAACAAGGCAAAAAACTTTGATCGTTTTGCCATGAGTATCATCTCATGCACTTCACTGCAACCATTGCAGTCAAATGTCTCCTAGGAATGGAATCATCCAATCACCTATTGGTAATTTTAGGTTGATGAATGTACCTTTCCCTTCCTTAGGGATCAGAGCACAGTCCTCCAGGACTGTTCTGTTTTCAGAGTCTGATTCTTTTAACCGAGCCTCTCCCCCGGTACCCACCAGATCTTTGAACTGATTCCTGACTCAGAGGCCTGGTCCAGGGGTGGGCTGCTGGGGGTTCGCAGGGGTCTCTAGATGAACCTCTAGCTAAGATTCTGTGCAAATCCCCCAAATCCCACTCCTGGCTGGCCCCGCCCACCCCACCCTGCCTCTCCCAGGAGTTCCCACGTGGCCTGTTTTGGATGCAGGTAAGTGCAGGGTGCACACAGAGGGTGAAAAATGGGCCTACTGGAAGTTCGGGAAGGCCTCCAGAGGGCCTCTGGAGGCTGGGGAGGCTGTTTTTGCCCTCCCGGAGGCTTGAAAAAAGCTTCCGGAGCCCGGGGAGGGCACAAACGTGCACCACCCCCCCCCCCCCCCCGTGATGCAGGAGGCCAACTAGGCCATGCCCACCATGGCCACGCCCACCTAGCAACCGGGCAGAGAACCCCTTGCTAAAATTTTTGAAGCCTGGATCCTGCCTGGATCAACCTGAACGCCAGCTGACTGGACATGGTGGGCGGTTCATATATGAAGTTGAAAGAAAACCCACACTCTCTTTGCTGCCTCATAATTCAGTTCCCCCTATGCCTGAAAATTTGAGCTGCTCTAGGCTGCTTTTGAACACAGATTTAGTGCAATTCTAGAACAGCACTATACCTGTGTGCAGAAGGAGCCTAATGGTCAGCTTTACTTTGGTGCAAGTGTTCTACACAATTCCTTTCAGCAGGAACCTGTTCTAACCTTCTGTCAAAATGTTTAACCTCCCACCCCAATGTATGTTAAGGAGAGTGATGGGTATTTGGCTCCCCACTAGCTGGTGATCTTTGGGAGGCTGGCAGAGAAACAAAACTAGAAATCCCTGTTCTTAATGTGAGTTGTACACTGTAAATAGAGACAGCACCATTTGCCAGGATCAAGACTGCAAGGATAGGGATTGTTACCACTACAGCAACTTTTACGCCATTACAGTTTTCTGGTAGCTCACTATAATTGTATGTGGGAAAGATCTTGGGGGACTGGGCAAGGGAACACTGTCGAGGGAATAGATAGATAAAGTTAGATAACAGAAAGTGTAGCCCACAACTGGACAGTGGGCAGGGGAAAAAGCTCAAAGAAATCCTTGTTGTGCTGCAGAGAAGACAAGGGGGAAGACTATATTCTGTCCAGGCTACTTTACAATAAAGCAGAATTATCTCATCTGGTTGTGTTTCCTATCTGTTTATCCTGCGAGGTCGACACTCAAGGACTCTTCGCACTTTGTGAGGTCAACACTCAAGGACTCTTCGCACTTTGTGAGGTCAACACTCAAGGATTCTTTGGCCTTCACGGCCACGTCCCCATGAAGGTGCTGCGAGCAAGCTATTTAATGACTGCAGATAGATTCACTTACCATTCCAATAGCATCTTTTTTTTTTTTTTTTTAAAGGCTAATCAGGCCCTGATAAGGAAAAATCTCCCTGACCATAAAATCTACAGTGCACAACAGTGGAAGTCCATCTATGGATCTCTCCATCTCTGTAATTGTTGGGCTTTCCAGTTCTGGAAGAGGCTGGAGAGTCACCAGACATGGATGATTTAACTGATATTCCTGCATACTGCGAAAGGTTGGACTAGATGTTCCTTCAAGAGAACATCTAAAAGAACTACATTAGTTTGGACAACGTCTGAACGTTCATCTACCTGAAAAATCATTGTCTCCTGGGATAAATTTTTCATGGCAAATTAGGTTATTTATATCGGTTATTTACATTTAAGGAGCTCCTTCTTTAAACAAATATTTACAAATATTAAATTTGCAAATTAACAAATTTACAAATTAAATTTGTAAACAAATTTACAAATATTATTAAATATATTATATTTATAATTTGTAAGATATATAGTATGGGATGTATTGGTTCTGCCCTGGTCAGTTCCATTTTGAGTGCTGCATTCAGATATGGTACCAGATTACAGAAAGGACATCTATCTATCTATCTATCTATCTATCTATCTATCTATCTATCTATCTATCTATCTATCTATCATCTATCTATCTATCTATCTATCTATCTATCTATCTATCTATCTATCTATCTCTGTCGATAGATAGATAGAGGCAAGCATCAAGCAGCGTAAATGCAGCAAGGGTGAGACCTCTTCTCTGGCTTTGGAAAGGAACAAAGTACCAATGCCTTGAGACAGAGATTCCGCTAGTAAGTTCCTTCTTGGCGAAAGCAGGCAAAGCAGCATGCGGTTAGGGCCAGCCCAGAGTGGCTGGGGTGTGCGTGGGCAGTGAGACCCGAAGAAGTCCCCAGGTCTGAGCCAAGACATCAGGACTAAACCTACCTGCTTTCATCAAGCCGCTGCCCTTGCCTTCCACCACTTTTATGGGACTGTTGGAGATTTTGTTGTCTGCTTCAGGAAGGGGAAAAAAGGGAAATCAAAACTTGAAAAGTCAAACACAATCATCTTCCCCAGATCTCTTTCTGCCTCTGCACCCTCTCCTATCCACCTTTTCTTTCCCCCAAATAAAAGTTTATTTCTTTTATTTATGTCTCTTTATTTATGTCTCCATCTCTTCCACGGAGAGAACATTAACGGGCATAATTGTTCCTTCTCCCTCATTTTATCCTCTTCGTGATCCTGAGGTTTAGATTTTTCTGAGAAATTTGATGGGAAGGAGGAGGTCGTAATGTCCATTTCATCCTTTTGGCATCCTTAACAAATCAGGAACGGGCAACTATGAAGATGGCCCAGAATAACTTTTCAGAGGGAGACGGTGGCATATACATTTAATAAATAAGAAAAAATAAATAAATAAATGAATAAATGATGTGTGGGAGGGTTCATTCTTTGCACTAAGCCAGGGGACTCCTAACTTACTAAACCAGGGGACTGGTGGACGTCAACTCCCAGGATTGGCTGGCTGAGGAATTCTGGGAGTTGAAGTCCACCAGCCTCAAAGTTTCCAAATTTGGAAACCCCTGCACTAAGTCATGGCTCATTCAATCATTGTTTATTAACTAAGCCACAATTTAGTTGAGTTTGCACATTATGCAAACCGTAAACCAGTGTTTTACAAAGACTGAGATGACACAGCATGCTAAAGCCCTGGCTTTTTGCTCAGGCATTTGGTGAAGGGGATTGAAGTCCCCTTTGGGTTGTGTGAGTTAGTTTCATTTCCGTTCTTGCCTTGTTTTTATTTATTTATCTATTTATTGAATTTATATTGTCACCTATTCGCCATGGCGACTCAAGGCGGCTTAGAGAATATAAAACCACATATAAAACAATAAAACTAAAAAAAAAAGAAACGAATAAATTAATATAGTATAATAATAAAATCACACCCCACCCCTCACTCCCCCACCCCGGCGACAGCAGATCACACGAGCCATTTAATGGGCTCCATCCCGCTCTGGGTTCCCCAGGCTCCCTGGCAGAACCAGGTCTTCAGCGCCTTCTGGAAGAGTATTAGAGTGGGGGCACCTGGTGCTTCCCCAACAACTTTTGCATTCCTTCCCCAACGTTACGTACATTTCTATTTTGAGTAGCCATGATGATGGTGATGGTGAAGATGGTGATGATGGACTATTTTAAAAAGGGGTGAATCCCTGATTGATTCCTGCACAATTTCATGCATAGGCAAGAACAGGCAGCTCTTATATAGGGGCATCTATGTGAGATAGAGCAGCGGTCACCTACTGGTGGTCCCTGGACCACTGATGGTCTGCGAGAAAATGTTGGTGGTCCAGAAAAATTATTTGCATTTTTTAATATTGCACTAAATCAGAGGTCCTCAAACTATGCCCCCTGGGCCAGATACATGCAATGAACGTTTGTGTTGCTGCAGAGAGTCTCCCCCTTCGGGGTCTTTTTGTGTGGGTTTGAGGGGGGCAGAAATTCTGACTGGGGTCTGCTTCAGGCTCCTGATGCAGAGCTTTGGGCGAAGGCTGGAGGGAAGTGCTGCTGGTGGCAAGGAGCCAGAGGGCCTTGTTCCAGTGGGACTGCCTCATGGCCTGGAACTGGCTGACCATCTCAGCCCACTGAGCCTCCAGGTGCCGGTACCAGGCCTTACACTCCCGCAGGTCTTCCCTCTGCTTGGAAAGCCTATGCTCGTAGTCCTGAGTGAGGTGCTTCTGCTGAGCCTCCTTCTCAGTCAGATCCAATTTGAACTGAGCCAGCTGTTCTACCAACTCTTTCTCATGGTGGCTGCTTAGCTCCAACAACTGCTTCCTGTTGGGGCCCTAAGGAGCCCTGGCAGGGAGGCGAGGAGTGGCTGGCAGGGAAGGGGTGAGTAGAGGCCAGCGAGGCACCCCTCGATGTGAGTGACATTGAGTTGGCCATCAAGTTGGCCACGCTCACCCAGTCAAATGACCACCTAGCCATGCCCACCCAGCCGGTCATTAAGCAGATCATATTAGTGGTCCGTGGGATTTAAAATTATGAATTTAGTGGTCCCTGAGGTCCGAAAGGTTGGGGACCCCTGGGATAGTGGGCTCAAATAAGTGAAATACCATAAACTCACAATTGAAGCACTGTCCCCATTTTATGTATATTGTGCCTGCCCCCTGCAGACAACCCTGAGCTGCTAGTTACATTTTTCTTTAAAAAAGGCAGCAGGTGCAATCTGTGTTGGCACCTACCTTTGGCTGAGCCTAGAGGAGTCTGTGGGAAGAAGAGACATAGGTAGGTTACCAAAATAGAACAAAAAAAGAGATGTTTCTTTGCACATTTATATCTTGGCAGTGAGTCAAAGCTGCATGCGTGGCATTCTGGGTACATGCAAATGCTTTTAAAAGCTTCCCTATTACATAGCATCAGCTTCCTGCATTTTTTATAAAACCTTTCAGAAACATGAGAACCGAGTCAGTTCTCTCTGGATGGCGTTGCATGATGGGTTAAGCAAATCCCGTATCCATGAGCCAAACCAAAAGGAGAAGTTGGATTCCAGCTTTAGTTAAAACTGGAACCTGGCTTACATCTAGCAATCAGATTTGCCCGCTAAGCTCTCTTCAGTGAACTGCGATGCCCATATGGACATGGCAGGGAGGGTCTTTCATTCCATCCTCACAACAACCCTGTGTGGAGACCGCGATGAGAGAAAGAAGCTGGTTCTGACCTTCGGCGTGTGGGGTAGCTTCTCTTCCTTGACCACCACTCTGGTTGTTTCCTCAGCCATGTTCTCTTTGGTGGAAGATGCCGAGATGCCATTTTCCAGTTGTTCCAATTCTTTCTCCAACCTAGACCAGGAAGAGACATGAATTGTCGAACATTGTTTAAAAGCCTGCAGAACTGGAATACTAATTCCGGAAGAAGATATCCTATTTTGCCACACAGATGTGCGCATCATGTGATATAACTTTCTTTCTTTGGGATTAAAAAACTGACTTGCCTGAGCCTCCTAAATAAACTATCAGGTCTCAAATTTAACTCAACATACTATATTGTAACCCAGGGGTGTCAAACTCGCCGCGTCACGTTGCCGTCATGTGACATTTCATGATGTTTTTCCATTCGCGGGGCTGGGGTGGGTGTGGACTACGTGAGACGCATCCGGCCTGCGGGCCGTCAGTTTGACACCCTTGTTTTAACCTAAGTTGCAGTTCTTTTTTAGAGACACCATTTAGCTCTAATAATCCAACTTCTCGCCCTAGTACTAGATTTGGAGTGTGTCACCTAAATTGTAATTATTCTTCAGAAATAAGGAATTAAATCAGAGGCCTCAGGCAAACAATAGTTTGGTAGCCTGGCCCTTGCCTCAATTCTTCCTTTCCTGCTCCAACTTCACAGATTTTTGGAGTGTTTAGTTCCTGAGTAGTGATACCAGCACAAATACTCATTTTTTGTGGCACCAAAGTTTCCTCAAAATTCTTAGCCCAAATCAAGGGATTTAAGAAAAACAAGGTTTGCCTGTCCATATCAGATGGATTATATCTTCCTTAGCCAGTATAACTATTGGGTGAAAATCAAGGGAGTTGTCATTCTGGGAAGCAGGCTGATCTAAACTAGGGACGAGTTTTTGGAAAGTACAGATGTGGACTGTTGCTATGCTACATGTGATTACATTCTACTTTAAGATTAGAGGGTTTTTTTACTTTGGTATGTTTTAGTTTGTTTATTTTGCCTGTTGTCTAGGATTGACTTCCTACTTGGTTTTATATTTGATGCTAATACATCCCTGAGGACCACGTTGGCAAAATTGAAGCACAATAAAATAAATAAATGAGAAATGCAAAATTCATTAATGTCACTTTTCATCTCAGCCTCCTGCCAAAGAGAGCAGTTGGGACGCCAGAAATCCTGTTTTTCATCTTTTGCAACAACTTAGTGATGTAGTTTTGGTTGTTAAGTCTTCTAAGCAAGTTTTGCAGATAAGTAGATGTTTAATCCCAGATATTAAGTCCAACATGCCAATCAACGTACATGATTAGATCAAGTGATATGCCTGTTGGAATGAAAAATTTCAAAACTTTCAATGGGCGTTGAATAGATATCAGTATTTGCACTAAGAGAAGCTCTCTAAAGAGACTTGGGCAAAAACTACACTGATAGAAGTTGTTGTCAAAATGCAATCTCTTAGCCGGTAGGCACATGCTAAATTGTGTAGCACAATATCAAGTATTTATAATATGAGTACCCAGTTAGTAACTCTGGACAGACCACCTATCACTGACAATTGCACTACAATTGTATGTTTTCATGCACCTGAGGTTTTAGCTGGTTTTTTTTCCTGAAAATATGCAAAGGTTTAAATCACTTTTTTTGTTGTTTCTATACATTTCACACAGGCTATTTTTAAAAAGAACTCTATGTGTTCCTGCTCACTTTTGGAGGTATCAGAGATTAAATGTACCTGGCCTTTCCTGTCACACCCTTGATGCTTCAGCCATTCTCTACTCAATTTCACAACTCAGCTTTGTCAGTCGCAAAGGTGCTTTTTCAATTTTTCTTTGAAGATATTTTGCTTCTCATCCAAGAAGCATCTTCAGCCAAGCTTCTTGGATGAGAAGTGGAACATCTTCAAAGAAAAACAAGAAAGCCCAGTTGCCTCTTGAAAAAGCACTTTTGGGACAACCATGACCAGGATGACTGAGAATCTCTATAGACATTCAGTTTTATCTCAGCTGGTCAGCTTGACTATCTAATAATATTCCCCAAAATCTAAGCAGTGTGGATTCTGGACTTCCTGGGATCTTGGCAAGACTGTGAAATTATAATTCATCTCAGAATATGGCAGTGGAAAATGGAAAAAACTTTCTTTGAAAACTCCACATATTCAGGAAGTCACCAAAAGTTGAGCTCAACTTGAGGAGAAACCTTTTTAGCCAATTTCACGTTGCATTTTTAAAAAAAATCTCTCCTGCTTACATAAGTAGCATGCATCATGTCTTAATGAGTATAACTGATTGCAACACGATTTTGAAACACATTGTACTTGGCAGCACACAGAGGTTATAGTTGCCTAAAAGACCATTAAATAAAACCAGCCAGGGAGGGGAGAAAGATTTTACAAGAAAAATAATGCTGGGATAACAGGTTGGAGGGGTAATACAGGTAATCCATGATTTATGACCACAACCCAGGCCAAAATTTTTGTTGCTAAGCGAGGCAGCGGTTAATTTCATCCCATTTTACAACCCTGTTTGCCACAGTTGTTAAGTGAATCACTGCAGTTGTTCAGTTAGTAACACAGTTGCTAAGTGAAGCCCACACATCTTAAAGTTGCCAAGTTTGAGAAACTGATCTGAGCGTGGAGAATGTACAAAAGAGAGGGGAGAAGAAGGGGCAATGGGCACTGTCACTGCAAATTAACACCCACGTAATTGCTGGACTTAAAGAAAGCAAGAACTGGCTCAATTTATGCAACCCCTCCCTGTTTCTCTTGCCATTATTCGGATGCCAGGAATCCTGGCCATTCTCCCCTCTCTTTGGCCTTCCAAATTCGGAGGTTAGGATACAGCCAAAAGAAGACAACAAGGGTGGGGAGGCAGAGGAGGTTACTGTAACTGAAAGAATAATTTGACAGCACAACTATTTTATAAAAGGGAAATTGGTTGCGTCTTACTGAATAAACTGAGAACGGGAAGCAGCAGAGCAGTACACCACGGGGATGCTGCCATGGTCATAAGTGTGAAAAAATGGTTCTAAGTCACTTTTTTCAGTGGTGTTGTAACTTTGGTCACTAAAAGAATGATTGTAAGTCGAGAACAACCTGTAGTTCCAGAAGATTTGGTGGGATAGATACTGTGTAATACAGGTTGTTCTCAACCTATGACCGTAATTGAGCCCAAAATTTCTGTGGCTGAGACATTTGTTAAGTGAAGGGGGTTTTTTGCCCCATTTTAGGACTCCTCTTGCCACAGTTGTTAAGTGAATCACTACAGTTGTTAAATTAATAACACGGATGTTAAGTGAATCTGGCTTCCCCATTGACTTTGCTTGTCAGAAGGTCGCAAAAGGGGATCACATGACCCCGGGACACTGCAACCGTCATAAATGTGAGTCAGTTGTCAAGCATCCGAATGTAAATCACGTGACCATGGGGATACTGCAACGGTCATAAGTATGAAAAAATGGTCATAAGTCACTTTTTCCGGCACCGTTGTAACAGTCACTAAGCAAACTGTTGTAAGTTGAGGACTACCTGTAATTATGTATAATAATACCTATACAGGAATATATTCTCAAGTATTCTGATTAGTTCTCTGGTGGCCTCTCAACTTTTTCTAAGTGGCTATGGAGATTCTCAGTCATCCAGGCATGATTATTTATTTATTTATTTATTTATTTATTTTATTTTATTATATTTTTATACCGCCTTTCTCCCGTAGGACTCAAGGCGGTGTACAGTCAAGAAAAATATAGACACACAAACATCATAAAATTGCTAATTAAAATTATTACTTAGTTTGGTCAATTAAATAAAACCCAGAATTAGATAACATTTAAAAAATCATTCACATGTTCGTATGTTTAGCCCCGCCTGTTGGAACATCAGGGTCTTGAGGGCACGGCGGAAAGCACGGAGATCAGGGATATTCCGTATCTCCGGGGGCAGTTCATTCCAAAGGGTTGGAGCCCCCACAGAGAAGGCCCTCCCCCTGGGAGTCGCCAGTCGACATAATTTGACTGACTGTACCCTGAGTAGTCCCTCCCTGTGAGAACGAACTGGTCGGTGGGAGGCTATTGGTGGCAAAAGACGGTCTCGTAGGTACCCAGGTCCTAAGCCATGGAGTGCTTTAAAGGTGATAACTAACACCATGATTGCCCTAAAGGTGCTTTTTCAATTGACTTTCTTTGTTTTTCCTTGAAGACGTTTTGCTTCTCTTCCAAGAAGCTTCTTCAGTTCATTTTTCTAAGTGAGTTTCATCATCTTGATGATTCACTTTCCTCCAAACTGTCCTCAGCTCTGTTCCAGTCTCCCCCACCCCACCCTGTCCTGGCTATGCACTACCTAGTGAAACAGTAGGAAACAGCTGAGCAATTAGGGAAGGAGGCCATGGAAGTAGTGGGTCCAGGAGAAGGGGCAGGATATGGGAAGAGAAGACTGGTGGGCTAGACAGGAAAATCTCATGGGCCACTAACAGCCCTCCAGTCGGAGATTCCCTCCCCGATCTTGCCAAAATTACTGCTCTGTCCAGATTTAGACTTTTGGCTCATCTCATTGGATCAACCTGCTGCTCAGTTAAATGTACAGCATAGAAGAATGGTGGAGTCGGAAGGGGACACAAGGATCATCCAGTCCAACCCTCTAGAGCTGTGTTCCTCAACCTCAGCAACGTTAAGATCAGTGGACTTCAACTCCCAGAATTCTCCAGCCAGCATGGGGAATTCTGGGAGTTGAAGTCCACTGGTCTTAAAACAGTGGTAAAATCCAATTTTTTTTACTACTGGTTCTGTGGGCATGGTTTGGTGGGCATGGTGTGGCTTGGTGGGCGTGGCAAGGGAAAGAATACTACAAAATCTCCATTTCCACCCCACTCCAGGGGAAGGATACTGCAAAATCCCCATTCCCTCCCCACTCCTAGGGTAAGGATATTACAAAATCTCCATTCCTACCCCACTCTGGGGCCAGCCAGAGGTGGTATTTGCCGGTTTTCCAAACTACTCAAAATTTCCGCTACCGATTCTCCAGAACCTGTCAGAACCTGCTGGATTTCATCCCTGTCTTAAAAGTTATTGAATTTGAGGAACACTGCTCTGTACTACGCTGGAAAACTAATTAATTAATTAAATAAATAAATAAATAAATAAATTTATTTCTATACTGCCCTTCTCCCGAAGGATTCAGGGCGGTGTACAGCCTATTAAAAAACACAAAGACAAACATCAGTTAAAAATAATTAAAATTATTACATAATTCGGCTGAAATTTAAAACCCCAAAAATTTAAAACCCAATTTAAAAATCATTAAATTGATAGCCCGGCTTGGCGGAACAGCAGGGTCTTGAGGGCACAGCGAAATACACGGGGATCGGAGATCTTGCACATTAACCCCCTTCCCCCCCCAATGAGAAGTAGCTGTCCAGCCTCTTCTTCAAAACCTCCATAGACACGGAGCCCATCCGGAATAAGTAAACTATTCCACTGTTGCATAAAGTTTTTCTGTATATTTAAGCAACAGACATAGCTGAACGTTTATTTATTTCTCCCAGAATGGGCTTTTGTCCAGAAATCAGATATTCTATAGACAGAGAGCATTCTGGTTATGTGTGGTAAGTGGGAATGACAAAAAGTGCAGAATCATAACTTCTTATTTCAGTTTTTAGAAGTGCGCTAATGAATACTGGTGACACCCTCTAAACTAGATAGTGACCAGACTACGTAAAGGGTCTGGGAACTTCATGAAGGCTGTCTACCCACCCTAAACAGGAGTTAATAAACTAGTCCAAGGATATCCACGGCTCCTCTAGTTCCATTCTGATTGCATCCATCATTTGGAAAGGTTTTTAGAAGCTTTCCCTGTTAAGATTCCACCTTAATATGTACCAATTTCTCCCAACTTGCCATCCTCAAGGTATAAAGTGACTGCTGTCTATCTTCAGCTAAACTTACAGCTTCTGGGAAGTGTAGCCCAAATACATGGTTTGGAGACGGCTTCCATTACCTCTGGATGTTCTCTTCCAGTTCCTTGGCCTTCAAGTAGTCCTCCTCCAACAGCTTCTTTGTGGCTTCACCCTCTTCAGCTGTGGATGATGGAGCTCCTTCCAGCAGCCATTTCTCTCGCAGAGTCTTTGACTTGAAGACAACAGGAAGGAAAAAGAAGAAGGGATTCCTTATTATGGAGTTCTTGGTGCTCACTGAGTTTGAGGCTGTGAAGAGCACCAAGGACTCTACAGTTCAACCCAAAGCTACCTACACAAATAGTCCTTGATCTACAACAGTTCATTTAGTAACTGTTCAAAGTTACAATGGCACTGAAAAAAGTGACTTAAGACTGTTTTTCACACTTACAACTGTTGAGGTATCCCCACAGTCACATGAACAAAATTTGAATGCTTAGCAACTGATTCATATTTATGACGGTTGCAGTGTACTGGGATCATGTTATCAACTTTTACAAGCAAAGTCAATGGGGAAGCCAGATTCACTTAACAACCATGTAACTAACTTAATAACTGTAGTGATTAACTTAACAACTGTGGCACGAAAAGTCATAAAATGGGGCAAAATTTACTTCACAATGTTTCATTTAGCAACAGAAATTTTGGGCTTAATTGTGGTTGTAAGTTGAGGACTACCTGTATTCTGTTCTATTAGATTCCTTATATACCCTCCCTCCCCCAGTGTTGTTCTGTTGCATAACCTGATAGCTGTGATGGTTTTACAGGCTTAATCAGGACAGGGAAAGACCTAGCAATGCTTTGCACAATAGGCTAAACTCAGCTAATATTAATCTTTTGTGGGAAGTTGTGCAGCTCAGCGTAATGCAAACCCAGTCCTTTGCCTGGGGTAGGATGAAATGTCCTGCATGAACCCTAGAACATGGGTTCAGTTATTTATTCATCAAATGTATTAATGAAATTTATATATATTGTTTAATGAAAAGAAGGACTAGGGGTGACATGATAGCAGTGTTCCAATATTCCAAAGAAGAGGGAGTCAAGCTATTCTCCAAAGCACCTGAAAGCAGGACAAGGAGCCTGAGTGGCTTAGGAGGCTAATACCTCCTACTAAGGCAGCATTTAACATCCAGCTGCCTGCAATTACTGCGAGTTCAATTCTCAGCAGGCTCAAGGTCGACTCAGCCTTCCATACTTTCTAAGGTGGGTAAAATGAGGACCCAGTTTGTGGGGGCAATAAACTGACTTTGTATAAAATATACAAAAGTATGAAGGCTATTGCTTAACGCATTGTAAGCCGCCCTGAGTCTCCGGAGAAGGGCGGCATATAAAAATAAATAAAAATAAAAATAAATAAAATAAAATAAGAAGCAATGGGTGGAAACTAATAAAGGAGAGAAGCAACTTAGAACTAAGGAGAAATTTCCTGGCAGTGAGAACAATTAATCAGTGGAACGACCTGCCTCCAGAAGTTGTGGGTGCTCCAACACTGGAAGTTTTTAAGAAGAGGTTGGATAACCATTTGTCTGAAGTGGTGTAGGGTTTCCTGCCTAAGCAGGGGGTTGGACTAGAAGACCTCCAAGGTCCCTTCCAACTCTGTTATTCTGTTCTGTTATAGTCGCCCATCTCCCCTCCACAGGATACTCTGGGCAATGCACAAGAATAAATAAAGCAACCAATAAAAACAGATGAAATTCTAAAAGCCACAATAATAACTATTTATTAAGAATTAATCACAAAGCCAGAAGAAATGTGAAGGCAGTAGCAATTAACAGCCCTTTCTGGTTTTTCTTAGCGTGAAAATTTATGACTTTAGAAAGTTGCAATAACGTTTACATTCTGCCTTTAAAGCACGCAGGAATAAACTTTTTGCTAGATTTCATTACAAGACCCGGTTGAGGAAAGAGCATCCTGGAAAATATCTATGCCGTTACTAAAAGTCAACAACAACGTGATGGTACCGAATCATTTGGATTTTCTCCACTTTTCCTCAGCTGGTTGCCGAGGACACCCATTATTCCATTTGGGTAATGGACCCATATTTACTTTACTTTTACTTTTATTTGATTTATATACCGCCCTACTCCCGAAGGACTCAGGGCGGTGAACAGCCAACAATAAAATACATACATACAAAATTTAAAAAGCAGAGATAAAATCGAATTAAATAGTTTGGCCCAGACAGATTTAAAACCCCAATCAATTTAAAACAAATTTAAACTCTGAATATTAAAAATACTAAAAAATATTAAAAAATTAAAAATGTTTAAAAAGAGGGAGAAAGTTAGGCCAGGCCCGCCTGGTGAAATAAAAAGGTCTTTAGAGCGCAGCGGAATATACATTTATGATTGTATAGCACACTTTTCCTTCATCCAAAATTCTCCACCAGGCTAGAAAGCGGGAAACTGAGTTCTAGTCCCGCTGTAGCCATGGAAACCAGCTGGGCCAATCACCAGGAGACTGAGAGTTCTAGTCCCAACTTAGTCATGAAAGCTGGCTGGGTGATGTTGGTCCAGTCACATACTCTCAGCCCAAATCGCCTCAAAGTGTTGTTGTTGTGGGGCAAATAGGAGGAGGAAGGGGTGTTGGATATAAGTTATTTGTACAAATCATAAAAGTGGGATACAAATTTTAAAAAAATCTTTTTTCAAAAGAGCAAATTAGGAGCTTGGAAACCCCTCAAATACCTTTAAGTGCTGTAACTGGCGCCTGTCATCTTCTAATTGTCGCCGCTTGTTTTCAATCTCCGTTTGGCGTTTTCTCTTTTCCTGAAATTCCGGAGAGAAGAGGGAAAGAAGGGGAAAGGAGGAGCGAGAATTAAACATTGGGTCCCCAAGAGAAAAAACGTTAGGTGTTAAGAGGCTGCACAGAGGCTTAAGTTCACTGCCCCTACAATTTCCCTTGATTGTCAGTTTTGGGAATGGTGGTCAAAAGAAGAGGAAAATAACTTTTGGGAAGGGGGAAATTTAAGAATATTTGGTCCTTATTTTAAATGACGATTTAATTAAGCAAGGACCTTGCACCAATTTTCTTAAAGATCTTGATATAAAAGAGATCCACTAAAATTAAACTGTCCTGACCAATAATGCCTATTTCTGTCGGCTTCTTTAAATAACGTGTGCCAAACAACTAAATATCAAATCAAGCAATGATACCACCTGTTATTTCTAGAAAACAAGTAAATCCAGCTTGTGCTTCAATGCATTTCAGTGCTGTTCATTGAAGCGTCTTTTGTTCTCCGGTGGAAGATGATAGTTTTAAAAGAAGAACCTGTTTTTCTCCAGAACACCCTAGAGCAAGTTTTTAATTTAAATTGGTCAAAATCCAGTGCAGAAGTGATATTTTGAGGCTCCAAACTCAGATTATGACCATTGTACTTAGCCTGGTATAAATAATGATGTTTCTCCAAAAACTGCATAGATTGTCCAATGATTGCATGTAATTTTTCAGGTGTCGGATCCCTGGAAAAATGATGGCATGAAATTGCTTCATTCTACTGAGTCTCCTGCAATTAATTTCCAGAACTGCTAGACCAGTGATGGGTTCCTCCCGGTTCGGTCCGGTTCGGCCGAGCCGATAGCGATGACAATATGACGTCACCGAACTGGTTCTCTCCCACCCTCCACCCCCCCACGTTATTCTTACCTTTTATTTGGTCCCACCCCCAATCTATTGCTGCCTCCTGAGTCCCAGCTGATGACTAGAGGGTGTTTAAACTCTTGCCGCGGGGCTTCAAAGGGCTGTCCTACAGCTGATCAGTGTTAAAAGCAAACAAATGAGTTGGGTCGTAAGTGCGAGGACTGGTCGTAAGTGCGAGGACCTTCCAGAAATGACTCTGACCAGCTACCCACGCCCACCTAGTCACATGACCTCCAAGCCACACCCACGAAATAAGCCACGCCCACAGAACCGGTAGTAAAAAAATTTAGAACCCACCCCTGTGCTAGACTATACTATAGGGCAGAACCACCTATGGAGGAAGTAATCCACCCTATAAGAGTCTTAAATAAGGGTCAAAATGAGTTTACAGTCTTCCTAGAAACATTTAGCTCCATAAGATGCACAGGGAGCAGCACTGGTTGGCCTCTTTGTATGTTGAACTGGAGACTTAATATTCAATCCATCCAATTGAAGGGAGAATGGGCTGAAGAACACCAAGGAGACAAAGGAAATGATGTTGGACTTCATCCTCATGGCACAAGTCACCCTGAATAAGTATTTTTAGAGGGCACATCCTCATGATGAAGGCTTCATTTCATCCCCAGCCCAGGGGTGAAATCCAGAAGGTTCTGACAGGTTCTGGAGAACCGGTAGTGGAAATTTTGAGTAGTTTGGAGAACTGGCAAATACCACCTCTGTGTTGTGGCCTGTCAGCAGCCTGTGCAGCTGGTAACTGATTCCGACAGCGAGGAGGCTGGTGTGGTGCTGCGCCAGCAGCCGGTGCAGCTGGCACTCGAGTCGGACAATGAGGAGGCTGGAGAAGATGTGGTGCCAGAGGCGGAGATTCAGCCAGGGCCTTCAGAACCTCCAGAAGCTCCCATAAGTGAAGAGGAAGAAGAGGAGGAGCCTCTTCTTGATGCACGAGCGCGCAGAGCTGCCAAAAGGCAGGAGTGGTTTCTCAGAAGGAGGTCTCCTCGAGAGTAAGGCTTGGGGCTAATTGGCCACTCCCTTAGCCTATTTAAGGAAGGGCGACGACTGAGGCAATTTGCAGGGAACAACTTCATTCACTCTCCTTCGCGTCCTGATCTTAGTTCTCTTATCAGGTTCCTGCAAATTGCTTCTGGGCTTTCTGCCAACCATAGTAAGATTACGATTATTTATTCTTTGGATTCTTGTAGGCTGTTAAGAAAGTTAATTAACAGCCTTTGTTTGAAAAAGACTGATTTAATTTAGTAAACTAAGGTTTGTACAGACTTTGTGTGTGCTGCATTCTTTGGGGTCAGTAGCTGGGGCAGAACTCTGGCTGGCCCAAGAGTGGGGTGGGAATGGGGATTTTGCAGTATCCTTCCCCTGCCACGCTCACCAAACCACACTCACCAAGCCACACAATGCCCACCAAGCCACGCCCACAGAACCAGTAGTAAAAAAATTAGATTTCACCCCTGCCCCAGCCCACTTCAAGGGTAGACTGCATTTAACATGAGCTGTTCTGGTTTAAAAAGTAATGTCTTTTCCTTTTTTTTTTTAATAAATTTTTTATTATTAAAATAACATTACAAACAACATATACAATACTTCACCCTGTGCTATACATAAGAAAGGAAGATTTGGTTCTTCGGATATATCCTCATGATCGCCAAAATCCACGTTCTCGGGGTACAGGTACCAAAGCATCCAATTTTCCCAGCGCATAGTCCATGAATGGTTTCCAAATTTTCCAGAAAATATCTTCTTTATAGTCACCATTTCTAATTTTAATATCACATGTCATTTTATCGTTTAAAGCTAATTTCCACATTTCACAATACCATTCTTCTATTCTAAAATTCACATCTAATTTCCAATATCTGGCTATTATAATTCTACCCATTATAATCATAATTCTAATCAATTATTTCTCATATTTTGTTGGTTCTATTTCCTTAATTATCAACAGTAATATAGTTTCTGGTCTCAATATTATTGCTTTCCCCATCATTTCAAATATCATTTTCTCCAATTGTTGCCAAAACTTTTTAACTTTATCACATTTGTACCACATATGTTCATAAGTCCCTATTTGACTCCATTAAGTTTGTCATTGATGGATAACAAAATTAGTAAACAATGTTGGAGATGTGATATGGAATTAGGGACTTAAAAGTAATGTCTTTTCCTTGTCTTCCCCCAGCACAAGTCTTGCTACACGGACAATGATGATGGCTCAATCACAATACTGGTGATGGTACAACCAGGAGTTGGGATTTTGGAGCTCCCACTGGCCACTTTCTGTCCAGTTGGCTGACTCTGCAAAGTGCCAACATGACCTTATGTGAACTCCTTATATGAATGGGTGGAAGAACACTGGGATGGTTTTAAACATGTGTTTAGTGGCCTTTTGGAAGAGCAGAAGGCTTTGAGTTAAAAAAAAAAAACAAACAGACAGACTCCCACCCTCTGCATAGAAAAAGTGATTTCAATTGGGAAAGAGAACTGGCTTCTGCCTCTTATGCTTTGCTGGTTTTGTCCCAAATGAGGGCACTGCAGGTTTTCTGCTGCTTCTGCAACTTTTCTATAGCTGCGCTTTGTACTGTTTTTATCATTGGGGGACGGGGACGGACGGGGGACGGACGGGACAGTGGTGCCAATTTGCCTACTCCATCATCATTTTGTGTGCTCTATAGGAGACTTCTGGGTGCTGCTGGTCACACACCCTCCCTCCCAGAATGTATTATTCTATCGCAACATTTACTGATTTGCAAAAATTGGAAGCTGGCATAAAACTGATCAGAGTTCTGCCAATTTCCAGATCAGAGGTACAGTTAGAGGCATAAATTGGAAGAGAACAACACCCCGATGCTCCTTACCAAACCTCCACCACCTCAGAAGCTGTCTCCCACTTCACCCTCCCTGACCTGTGTTATTTTTGGACACAGGCTTAGAGGTCTTTCAGAAGACCACCAGTGAAATCCAACAGGTTCTTACAGGTTCTGGAGAACCGGTAGCGGAAATGTTGAGCAGTTTGGAGAACCGGCAAATACCACCTCTGGCTGGCTCCAGAGTGGGATGGGAATGGAGATTTTGCAATATCCTTCCCCCAGAAGTGGGGTGGGAATGGAGATTTTGCAATATCCTTCCTCTGCCACGCCACCAAGCCACACCACGCCCACCAAGCCACACCCACAGAACCGGTAGTAAAAAAAATTGGATTTCCCCACTGCAGCAGACCTCATGTTCAGAAACAGCCTGCAAGAGTAACCAAGCATAAAGCACCTCTATGCCAGCAACCTGTAACCTGGGCAACTTGAAAGTTCAGGTAGTCCTTGACTTATGACCATTCAGTTAAAAAGGACCTTATCCAAAAGTATTTATGACCTACTTCTGAAGTTCCAATGGCCTCCCTCTCCACACAGTCACATGACCACATTTTGGACATTCAGCAATGTCCAGTCTGCATTGGCCATTTGCAGCATCCCACAGTCATATTATGACTGCAATTTACAACATTTTTGCTGAAAATGGCAAACCGTGGGTTTGCTTAACGAATCTGACATTCACTTAACGACTGCTGCATTGGTTTAATGACCACTGCAAAAAGGGTGATAAGATCGGATCAGTCACATGATACCCTGCTTTATGACCGTCACTGACTTACAACTGTAAATAAGTCTTTCTCCCAGGCTCCCACTCACTCACATGCAGACTTGCCCCACCCATTGTCTGCTCAAGAGAGCAGTGGGTAGGGTTTTTTTCCCCCAACAGCTGAATGAGACAGAAAACAAAACAGGGGAGTCATTGATAACTGTCTTTAAATCGTCTCCTGGTAAAGCTGTAAGGACAGAACCAGCCTGATTGCTGGGATAGATTAAGAGCTCAGTTTTTAGGGCAATGCAAATTAGGCCGGCATAATTTTCTGTCAAATCAAGAACTAGTGGAAAACACACTCAAGCAGCTGGGAAGAAGTGCTCTCAGGAGCAAAATGGATCATTCGGGGTGATGGATGAATCAGCCAACGTGGCCTACCTTTTTCAAAAAGTCCTCTGAAGATGCTTCATCACAAATTATAGCCTCGGACCAGACCATTAAGGCTACGGAGTCCGCCCCTCGACTCAATGCAGAAATCCACATT